GCTCCTGCTCACAAAGCTAAGTCAACTCAACATGGTTGGAGATGAATGTTCCGGAGTTCATAAAAGCCAATGAATGGCCCTCTGGAAGCCCTGATTTAAACCCCCTTGATTACAGTTTGTGGATTTAGAGGAGAAGGTGCTCTAAAAGATATCATAATTTGGATCAATTGAAATGAGCATTGGTGAGAGCAATGAAAGAAATACCCTTAGAAAAGGTGTGTGCCGCCATAGATCAGTGGCCCAAACGTTTGAGATCCTGTGTCAAAAATAAGGGGGGATATTTGGAATGATTGTATATATTTAAAATCCTATTGGCTAATAAAATATGTATTTATATTCCATTAGTTTTTGATCATTTAATTTATAAAATTGTAACAGAATTTATGGCTAGACTGTATATAGACGTTGCAGGCCTGAGGAAGACGGCTTTTCTTTTTTGTTGAATGAGTAAGAGGTTTCACCATTGAGATCAGGTTGTGCGCATGACTAACTATAGATAATGTTGTGCCACCTCTTCTATGCAGACTATTTGATACTCACATCAATGTTAGAGTCCTATGCTTCAATCTCTGCTATAAAATATATCTGCAAATACATATACAAGGGTTATGACCAATCAATTTTTGCAGTTACCGGTGCTCAAACAGAGTCTAATGAAGTGCTAGAGTACCAACATGGTCAGTATATTAGTAGGCCAAGGAGTCTCTCCATGGATTCCTGGACACCACCAGTGATCTGGTGGGGAAGATCGGACTTCACTTCAAGGGCTCCAAGTGCACGACTCATTTGAATTGCAGGAAAAAGAATACAACTCTGCCCACAACCTTCTGCATCCAAGAACAGCCAATCTCAGCAATGTTGAGTCCTGTGCTTCAATCTCTGCTATAAAATATATCTGCAAATACATATACAAGGGTTCAGACCAATCAATTTTTGCAGTTACCGGTGCTCAAACAGAGTCTAATGAAGTGCTAGAGTAGCAATGTCATCAGTATATTAGTAGGCCACGTAGTAGGCCAAGAACAAGGAGTCTCTCCATGGACTCCTGGACACCACCAGTGATCTGGCGGGGAAGATCGGACTTCACTTCAAGGGCTCCAAGTGCGCACCTCTTCATTTGAATTGCAGGAAAATGAATACAACTCTGCCCACGACCTTCTGCATCCAAGAACAGCCAATCTCAGCAATGAGAGAAGAGGACACATACTGCCACCTTGGAGTACCCACCAATTTCAACAAGTCAAGGAACCCGAAGAAGCCATCAAGGGAATCAAGGAAGATGTGGAAAAAATCAACAAGAGCCAACTTGGAAGAAGATCGACGCCACCAAGACCTTCGTCTACACAAGACCGCCTTCAGAGAAGTGGACCTACTGATAAAGAGACTAGGGAAGAAATGGCCTGGCCTGCCTCTGCAGGCCAGCAATGAGGTGCTCTTCATCCCTCCTTCCAAAGGGGGAGTAGGAATGGTGCCATTTGGTGACAGGACTGATTTAGCCAAGATCCAACACGCCTTCCGGCTCCTCACGAGCCCAGACTCTGAAACCTCCGCACTCACCAAAAGCCTTCTTAAAAGAGTTGCGGAGAGGAAGCTGAGACGGCTTGCACTGGAAGAGGAGCTGGCGGGGTATCTGTCGGGGAAACTTGACGGTGATTTTGCCAGGGTTGGTGGAGACATCACCTCACTCTGCAGTGATGCCAGAAACACTTCTCGACGCCTCTCAAAAAGGATCGGCGTTCAGTGGGTCCACAACCCAACGCTGGGAGACATAACAATCAAGCTCCCCAACACTGACAAGACACCCAAAGAAATCAGCCTCCCCACAGTTGCTAGGGAACAAATCATAGCAAGGCTTTGGGCAGGCCTTCCAAGACTCCTACCTGAAAACTCTGATTAAAAAGTCTGAACAGGAAAAGGTCTACGAGGTCACCTGTCGAAACAAGTCTTCTGTTGCAGATCCACTACCTTCTTCTGTGTGTGTTCTGATATTTACATTTTATTTGGAGATATTGAGGTGGGGGCCTGCAAATGTAAAAAGCCAAGGAAGAAGACACCCCCACGAGCCAGCCACGTTACGCCGTCCAGTGATTCGAATTCTTTGTTTAAAGCTCGACATCTTCCAATGGCTTCATCAACAATGGGAGATACATGCGTTTTGCAGACTGGAGGTTCATCTACCGTGCTTGGCTTAACGTACTCCCACTGCACGGAATCAAAATATTTGGCCCTGAGAACAAACAATGCAGAGTTTGCAGAGAGCCAGGTAGTTGAAATGCTACCTCATGTGCTTCAACACTGCCACAACGTTACCGAAACGTCACACACTATAGATTTATTTGGTATAATTACCCTGTGTTTGACTATTCTAAGGTAAAAATTTGTAGAGAAACATATTTATATTAAGAAAAAGGCATCTTGAGTTGTTCAACTGATCCCAGCACAATTTTACTTGGACCTTTGGGAGAGGTTGCTGCTAATCATCAGACAGCTTGAGAAGCATGGACTCTTTGTGTGATCTTTGCACAAGGGGATAAGAAACGACAACAACACAATTTCACTTTTATACAACTCTTTCACATATTTACATTAGTTTATTAATCTTATTTCAATTTGTATTTAAACCTGCTGTAATCAAAAGTATTTTTTGCTTCTCTTCTTTGGGCAAAATATCTCTACAGATTTTGCTATGGCAGTGTGCTGGGTATCTTTATGTGATTGCGCTGGTGTGGAATTCACATGCCCTGGCAGAGAATTCACATTCTGGGATAAAGTATTTATATGTTCTAATGTAGAATTTTCATGAGGTGATGTGACATGAGGTTTGATGCCATTTACCTGTGCAGGTATAGAAGTCCTGAACACAGGAGTTGGTAACTTGGGCTTGAGTAGGTTCAGGATATGTTCCTGGTATTCTTCATCATTCTGTGCAGGGTGGGCTTCGTACAGCCGGTGCATACCCATGTTGGAGAGAATGTCGCGAGGGTCTAGAGTGTTGTCCTGTTTAGCATCTCTCCAGAGGGTGTTGTAGCGTTGTGTGGCCAGACTGAATGTATGGAGAAGGTTGCCACGCAGAATTCTTTCCAACTCCACCAAGTAACCTACCTCCCACACCAATGCTCGTCTATAGTTATAGGGAATTGGTCGTCCAAACCAAGCATGCAACTCAAACACTTCACGCAGGTTCTCATCATACGGTGGAAGGAATACTTCACTTTCTGGTATCTGCAGATATCGCTGAATCAGTGTGTGAAGTGGCGTATACCTCTGAGGAAACTTTCCTTTCTTGTATTGATAAACAGTATCCATCATCATTACATCAGATAGAGGTCTCACTTCTTCAATGCCGTACTGGTTCATTAGGGCATCCATCAGTCGTCCTGCATCATACACTACCTTCCTAATGCTCTCCTTTACCAACAATTCCTCAATTCCATGCTCAAAAACCTTCTTCCCCAACTTTAGCAGGTCAAAATGAAACACATAATATTCAGATGCCAGTGATAGCCAACTATGATGGCCATTTCGCCCAACATTTTGTCCATGAAGAGCAACACACCTATAGTTGAAGATTTAAAAAGATTTCTAATGGCTAATTTATAGTCCTTTAAATCTTCAATAATGACAGATTCAACTTCATTACCAACAGTGACTGGTAAGATATGCTGGTATGGATTTTGAATATTTAATCCTGAAAAAAGCTCTTCATCATATATTGTATATGTTGAAATATGTGAACAAAATTTTTCTTTTAAATAGGGATTATTGGGTATGTTAAAATGTAGTTTTTGTTTTGGTGGCTCAATTATTTTGATATTCTTCACATCCTTTAATCTAAATGTCAAAAGATTTGGTGTTGGAATATAGGAATTCAAATTAATCAAGAGATCAACATGTATTTTTGCACAAGGTGTCGTGATTACATTGATCAATTGCCCACTGTAAATCCTATCTTCTACTTCAAATTTAATCCTATAACGTAGATGGCACTTTAACCAGTCTATTTTCTCAGTGATATCATCACTCATTCTAAAATAAATAAAATATATATGCATATATGGTAATTTAAACCAACAACCCCATATTGTATATAACTTATAATAAGATTTTAATGTTGTATAATAGAAACACATCTGTAAATGATTATACGTATCATTGACATGTGTCTTTACATCATCATATGTAATGTAATTTGTACAAACTGAGGATAAATAAATAGAATCTGTAATGGATTAAAAGTTGAGCTAAGCAAGAGATGGAAGTCATAACGTCAAGGTCGAGATGGATTTAGAATGCCCACAACAAGACCACCCACACTGTTCACAGCTGGTGGAATGCAGGGCCCCCTCTCACACCTGGTGACATGCAAAGCCCCCTTTCTCAGAAACGGCCCCCTGTCACATAAGCCCCCCAGTCACTTGACAGTTTTTTTTTCACCCTCAGCGCAAGCTCACGTCGGTTGTCACCAAGGTCCTCCTCATTCACCATGTAGACTAGTAAGGACTCTTCTATCTCCATCTTTCGCTCCTAGCTCAACTTTTATCTGTTAACGGAACTTTCTTAGTGCAACTGTGTCTTCCTTTTTTGTGTGGACATTCCCAAGCTTTCCACTCTGCCTCGACCACGACTGCCTGTATTTTGTGAGAACTTTTAAAGGTCTTCCAAGGTGCAGAGAGGTACTGGAAAACTCTACATCCTGACTGTTCCTCTCGGTTAACACAGTATAGCGAGAGTCGACACTTCATCATCACAAAGTTAATCGACAGGATTCTATAACACAAGAGGCACCAGACCTCAACTTATTAGAGACAACCAAACCTCCACTTATTACAGTGAGTCGACAGGACCTCTTATTTCACATATATATATATAATTTAAATTTTAATTACATTAAATAAATATAAACAAATTTCAAGATGGGGCTTCCCTGCGAACCAAGGGGAAAACTGGTCCTGCATTCTAGCAACCCTGAAACCATTCCTGCAGTAACAACCTCCCTGGCCAACAAGCTGGATTGCATGAAGGTCCGCCAGCAGAAGGAGATACTTCCGCGCATCTGCCTCTTCAAAGTGAAATAGGAGACATCCAACTTTACTATAGAAGATACCTTCCTGGCAACCCCTGTTGTCAGCCAACTCCCTGGTGACAAGCTGCAGAGGTCCTACAACATCAATAAGAACGCCAATAAGGTACTTCCTATGAAGAAATACGCCCCACCAGCATCCATCCCTGCACAGCCATCAGAGAGTCCCTTGGTCCAACAAGAGGAAGCAGCAGACGACCTACGGCTGCCGGTCGTACATAGCGACCCTCCCAACGTGCAAACGCCGCAGGTTTTGGACAGCGTTGATCTTCAAGCAGCACAACGATCTGGTGAAGCACCTTCGTGTTCTACACAAGATCAACTACGTGGTTTTTGACTGCACGGTCTGCCAACAAAGCTTCAAAGACCTGCAGAAGCGCCAAACACCACCAGGATTGCTCTACGGTTGAAAAACGGGCCCAAAAGAGCGCACCATCTACGAAGAGCAAGAAGAAGACACCTGGAAGCGACTCCGCGGCCCTGGAACTTATATCGCACACACACAGAGTGGGGAACTAATTTGATTCGAATCTCGTAAGAAGTTCATCTAGTCTCTTTAGCGCAACCTAGTCAGCAAATACAAAGATGTCACAAAGTACAAGCAAGAAGGCCTCCCACATCGCTCCAACGGAGGAGGAGGGGTGGAAGTTTACCACCGCAATGAGGCCCAAGGACATCTTGGACCTCATCAAGAAGCCCACCGATGCGGAGCTCCAGAGCTTCGACGCCGACCCCATCCTCTGGATGTCCGAGTTTGCAACTCGGACAATGCCTGATTACCTCCCGGAGAGAGCTTGGGGCCTACGGTGAGCATTGCCAGTAAACTGGCTTCAACCCCAACATCATCATTGCCACGATGTTGGAAAGATGTGATGGGGATAAAGCCCAGTTGGCGGTGGACATCATCGCCCTCCTCACCCTGATTGCCACCCGGGGTTTTAGCCTCAAAAAAATGTACAAAAAAATGTCAGACGTGGGCCTCGCAGAGGTCCAGAGGTTAGTAAATAAATATGGGATCATTGATGGACCCATCGCCCCAACTGCCTCCCCCAAGACCATCACCCTCGGCAGGCTGGCCGCCACGTGTCCAGCAGGAATGGCCCGAGCTCAGAGCTCTGATAGAGCTCGGGTCATTGGGAAGAAGCCTGTGCAGCTCCCCAAATGCTGCACATTTGCAGACATTATTATCCAACGGCGAGGTCATTCGTTACAGCGAATTTCAGAAACAATGGCACGAAGAAAGCATGTAAGCAATGCTGCAGAAGAAATGGCACGAAGAGGTCGTGGTCAAGGACGCCCTAGGTTTGTCATCAACCGTAGGCGCCCAGTTCGTCGTCGCCGCAACCCTTTTGTTGCTCCTTCTGCTCTCCCTACTGGTCATTTGTTTCGCCGGTTTCTATGTGCGCCGCAACTCCCTCAGGCTTCCGGTGGACCCAGCTGGTTTGGAACAATCAGTACCATTGCTAGCGGACTCTGGCCCCTGTTGCTTAAGTGTTTCCTCGGACCTATCGGATCTACAATGACCAATTGGTATGATCAAGCCTTCATACCTTGTGGCACCACCGCTGCTGCTGAGATCGACGCTCGATCTCTAATGATCAATTCACCATGGCTTGCTGCGAAATGGGACGCTGGCATCGACGATGGTAAATATGTTTGCCATTATCGTGAGGCTCGGCTCCAATCGCTGCATTTCCGGATTATGACTAACACTGATGTAAGGAATAGAGGTGGTACAATCTCGGTCTGTTTCATTCCCTATTCCATGGATACTCCAAACTCCAGTGTAGACTACACATGGATGCATCTCACGGACATTCAACGCGACCACAGAGCCGTCACTTTTAGAGCAAGTGACACTAGAACCTACACCTACACTCACCGAGCTGGCGACAAAGCATTTTCCTGGATGCCTATCGCCAAGGTCACTCCTGACCATATTACTGGGCTTGGTGCTCTGCTTGTGGGCTATCAAACCTTTGGTTCTGATGACATGGCTACTATTTCCACTCATTATGGCTCTAGTGAGTTCTGCGTCGAGGTGACTTCCTCCGCCTCCTTCCTCGTACGTGATTTTGTACCATCAACGATCGAGTTTGAGGATGGCCTGACCTATCTTAATACAGCGAATTTCAGAAACACATCGGTCCTATGATGCCCTTCAATATCCATTGATATTCCCTTATGGTGAAGACGGCTACCATTTTAACATTATGCAAATTATCAGGCGCAATAACCAATAAAAAGGTTTCATCAATGGACTTCTACAGTTATAGAATATTGATTCGTGATAATAGCCCAAACCATATTTTTAAATGCAGGCAATTATTTCACCAATTTCTTGGCCTGGCACTTCTGCTGGGCCCTGTTCGCGGTACAGTGCTTCTGGTGGGATTTCCACGTCGCCAAGTCTCGTACTTGACACAGCGGAAATCACGCCTGCGCGGTGGTCCATTTAACGGGTGGGGACAGCTATGAACATCAGGCCCCGCTGCTCAACGAGCTGAGGCCCCATGTGATTGTCGCCACCCCTGGACGCCTCCTTCACCATCTAAGACCAAGAACTTCTCTTTAAAATGTCTCGAAGTGCTGGTCCTGGATGAAGCGGACCGGATTCTTAAAAACGAAAAAGACCTGGATGAAATCCTGAACCTGCTGCCCAAGGAGAGGCAGACCTTGCTGTTCTCCGCCACTATGTCTGCGGAGAATATAGATCTCAATAGACTTTCTCTGCAAGACTTTGTGGAAATCCGAGCAGACACACTGATTAGCCCCCATCTGGAACATTTCTACCTTCGCTGTTTAACGGAGCACAAGGAATACTATCTGGCAGCACTTCTAGAAGGACCCTTTCATCGTAAGAGAGTGCTGATGTTCTGCAAAACAAAATTCAGCACTATTCGGCTGCACAGAATTCTTGAAACGCTTGGCTTCAGGCCATTGATGCTCCATGGCGATATGGCTCGGGCTAACCGGAACAAGAATTTGAGAAAGTTCAAAGAGGAATCCCAATCTTATATGGTGGCTACAGATGTTGCAGGGAGGGGCATGGATTTCCCTGAAGTCTCGGCGGTGATAAATTTCGATCGCCCCAACGTGAAGGAAGACTATACCAGGAGAGTAGGCCGTACTGCTATGGCTGGAAATACTGGCCTAGCGATAACACTTCTTCCCAAATCTAACAAAGTGGACCTCGGCTATATGGTGAAAATGTTGAAAAACAAGATATTGAAGGAATTCAAACTAGGAATGTCTGAAGAAGAGGTCGTACAAGTTTATCAAGAAAGAACAGACAATGCCATAAGAATTGCCAATGCTGTGGTGGCTGAATTGAAGAAGGAGCAGGAAAATGAACAGATGAAAAGATCACTTCCCCAAGAAGATTCTGCATCACAACCCACCAAAAAGATGTGTAATTGAGTACCATCGCAATGCACCATCGCCGCGTGGCCCGGCAATCGACCAGGTTATTGTACCCATGTCTGTTTCGTCACGTGACATGCGTCCTTGTTCTGCCACTCATCTCGACAAGTTTGGCCATCCTATTGCGCATGTTTCTGCACACGTTGTCACGTGACCAGGTTTGTTTACCTCCTGGTAATAACAACCAGGTCGCTAATGCACACTGTGTAACACGTGACACAAACACGATGCTCTGGTGGTAAGCCCGTCTGACACCACACATGCGATAGCATACCCATTGCTGACATTGCATCCAAGAACAGCCAATCTCAGCAATGAGAGAAGAGGACACGTACTGTCACCTTGGAGTACCCACCAGATTCAACAAGCCAAGGAACCCCGGAGAAGCCATCAAGGGAATCAAGGAGGATGTGGAAAAAATCAACAACAGCCTACTCACTACTTGGCAGAAGATCGACGCCACCAAGACCTTCGTCTACACAAGACTCGACTTCATTCTTCGAGGTTCCCTGATCCACAAGACCTCCTTCAGGGAAGTGGACCTGCTGATAAAGAGACTAGGGAAGAAATGGCCTGGCCTGCCTCTGCAGGCCAGCAACGAGGTGCTCTTCATCCCTCCTTCCAAAGGCGGAGCAGGAATTCACTTTTATACAACTCTTTCACATATTTACATTAGTTTATTAATCTTATTTCAATTTGTATTTAAACCTGCTGGAATCAAAAGTATTTTTTGCTTATCTTCTTTGGGCAAAATATCTCTACAGATTTTGAAAGAGTTTGCTATGGCAGTATGCTGGGTATCTTTATGTGATTGCGCTGGTGTGGAATTCACATGCCCTGGCAGAGAATTCACATTCTGGGATAAAGTATTTATATGTTCTAATGTAGAATTTTCATGAGGTGATGTGACATGAGGTTTGATGCCATTTACCTGTGCAGGTATAGAAGTCCTGAACACAGGAGTTGGTAACTTGGGCTTGAGTAGGTTCAGGATATGTTCCTGGTATTCTTCATCCATCTGTGCAGGGTGGGCTTCGTACAGCCGGTGTATGTGATCAAATGTTGTATACATATATGGATGAAAGAATGGAGGAAAAGTGATCCTTAACATCTTCCATCACATCCTGTTCCATATGAACAGCATTCAAAAGACAACTCTAAGAGCTTTTAACTATTCAATAATAGCTGAATTAGTTTTTTAAAAAATCACTGGATTATTGGCTGATGATTCTGAGTGGGATGCATGCTTGGCTGAGGCGGCTTTGTTCCAAATGTCAGGTCAACTGCGCCAGCTCTTTGCGACAATTCTCATCTTCGATAATCCAAACGACACTGGATCATTGTGGACCAAATACAAGGGGTATCTTAGTGAGGACTTTTCTCGTGGAACCTCTGAGACAGCTGCTGAGGCTCTCAGAGCCCTTGATTTTCAGCAGAGTGAAAATTGCCTCAGCTGCCACCATTATGGACTTCCTGCCCCCCTGAACCCGAGAGTTCTGTCGGTGACTTCAGCTAGTCCAGTTTGTCCCCCCACCAGTGGTAAGGCTTCTGGATACTACTGAAGTTAAAAGCTTCTCTCGATTTAGGAGCACTTCTTGTCAGTCCCTAATGACCCCCACCCGTGGTAAGGCTTCTGGATACTACTGAAGTTAAACGCTTCTCTCGATTTAAGAGCACTTCTTCTCAGTCCCTAATGACCCCCCACCCGTGGTAAGGCTTCTGGATACTACTGAAGTTAAAAGCTTCTCTTGATTTAGGAGCACTTCTTGTCAGTCCCTAATGACTCCAACCCGTGGTAAGGCTTCTGGATACTACTGAAGTTAAAAGCTTCTCTCGATTTAGAAGCACTTCTTGTTAGTCCCTAATGACCCCCCACTCACACGCCTACCAGGTTCTCACACAAATGTGACACATATACACAACCTTGCCCCCGCTCTTTGTGATCCGTTTAGGATGCCGTTCCAGCTACCTGAGGTCTTTAAATGTCCCGAGTGTTACGGGATGGCGAGAGTAACCCGCAGTGGTGTCTACAAGCAGCACAACGATCTGGTGAAGCACCTTCATGTTCTACACAAGATTAACAACGTAGTTTTTCACTGCACGGTCTGCCAACAAAGCTTCAAAGACCTGCGCCAAACACCACCAGGATTGCTCTACGGTTGAAAAACGGGCCCAAAAGAGCGCACCTTCTAAGAGGATCAAGAAGAAGACACCTAGAAGCGACTCTACGGCCCTGGAGGAGTCGAAACACTCGACTCAGCCAGCGGCCCAGGAACCGATTTCTTCAGAGACTCCGACAGGACTGCCTGTGGAACTGGACCAACAAAACACCCCCGCCCCCCGTGAGTGACCTCTCCGCCGAGACTACACCCTTCAGACCGGAGGCTCACGGGACGAGTTTGGCTACCAGCGAAGCGGGCCAAACAACTTTTGTCCCACCCCTACCAGAGAACGCCGCCGAGGAAGATCAAAGGGGTACTTCCTCTGAAGAAATACGCCCCTCCAGCATCCATCCCTGCACAGCCGTCAGAGAGTCCCTTGGTCCAACAAGAGGAAGCAGCAGACAACCTACGGCTGCCGGTCGTAAATAGCGACCCTCCCAACGTGCAAACGCCGCAGGTTTTGGACAGCGTTGATCTTCAAGCAGCGCCCCACCTGACAACCCTGCCCACTTGCCACAGGATACACCGGTCACCCCTCCTCCAGCTTCACAGCCAGTTGATGAACTCCAGCAGCGCCCGCCCTGAAAATCCCTCACTCCCTTTCAGGAAGAGTGGGATGGAAAGTGGACAGCTGCACCCGACAGGGAAACACTCTTTTCCTTGATCGAGAATTTCATCAAAGGAGTTAAAAACGAGACCGGAAAACCTGACACATGGACAAGACGCAGAGTGCCACCACCATAAAAACCTCGGAGTACCCGACCATCGGCACCCAGCTTTGATGCTGAGGCGAAGCTGCAGAGGTCCTACAACATCAATAAGAACGCCGCCGAGGAAGATCAAAGGGGTACTTCCTCTAAAGAAATACGCCCCACCAGCATCCATCCCTGAACAGCCGTCAGAGAGTCCCTTGGTCCAACAAGAGGAAGCAGCAGACAACCTACGGCTGCCGGTCGTAAATAGCGACCCTCCCAATGTGCAAACGCCGCAGGTTTTGGACAGCGTTGATCTACAAGCAGCACAACGATCTGGTGAAGCACCTTCGTGTTCTACACAAGATTAACAACGTGGTTTTTGACTGCACGGTCTGCTAACAAAGCTTCAAAGACCTGCGGACCTGCAGAAGCACCAAACACCACCAGGATTGCTCTACGGTTAAAAAACGGGCCCAAAAGAGCGCAATATCTACGAGGAGCAAGAAGAGGACACCTGGAAGCGACGCCGCGGCCCTGGAGGAGCCTGAACACTCAACTCAGTCAGCGGCCCAGGAGCCGATTTCTTCCGAGACTCCGACAGGACCGCCTGTGGAACTGGACCAACAAAACGTCCCCCTAATATAATCGTTTGTTTACAAAATATTCTAATTAATTTAAGGTTGGTAATTTTATTTTGTATGCCAAATTATTTGGTAATACTTTATTTAAATTAAAAATGGGAGATAAATTCAATAGGAAAAAAAGTTTCCTGTGTTGGAAAAACTAATGGAAAATATTTCTACATTTTTGAATGCCAAAATTGGGCCAACGCTCCCCGGGCTGCACCATCCCCATCCAGATGATCGAAGAACACTTCGAGAAACGCATGGTTGGGGACAACACCGAGTTCAGCCCCGACCCAGATCTCCTCAAGGACTTCGCCCCCCAGGACGGAGCCCAGTTGGAAGAACCCATCTCTTCCAACGCAGTATGGTACCGCCTTCTCAAGATGGGAAACACTGCTCCTGGTCCCGATGGCATCAGCTACCAGGAACTGAAACGGGTGGATCCCAAAGCCACCATCCTCACCCAGATCTTCCAGGTCTGCTTCCAGATGAGGGCGGTACCCCCTTCATGGAAGGAAAGTTCCTCTATCTTGCTCAACAAGAAAGGGGACGCCGAGGACATTTGCAACAATATTACATATATATATATCGTAATTTAAACAATGTGATATGTAAGTAATAAAGTATGACGCCTTTTCTAGTCGTCTCAAAGTGACACCAGCTTGCCACGGGACACCTGGGGGATCCAGAGACGGACAAAAGAAGGGGCGTCCAGATTTCGACAATTATTTAGGTTACAGTAGATATTTTCAGACAGCCCCGCTCGGTTGTAGGCCATTATCATCTCACGACGGTCCCCGCGGCTTCAGGCTGGACGCCGAGCTTTTCCTCAGTTAATCCTCAACTTTCCCCTGGTCCTGGTGCCACTTGAGACGTACTGGGGAGAGCATCTTTTGGTCCCAAACTTTGTCCTTATTGTCCCGTGCGGACTTCCCACTCTGCACGCCTTGCCACTCAACCCCGACTGCTTCCAACCCATTTGTTGTCTTACCCGGGTTTACGACATATATATATATGTCGTTCTGTCTTTCTCTCTTTTCTCTATATATAACTTCTAAAATTTATACTATTAAATATATTCTCACTTCTATTATTCTATATATAAATTAGAGTATGTCTAAATGACGGGTAACAGCCGATTGCAAAAGACGTTACGTTGTTAAATTTTATTGTTATTAATTATAAATATATATGGATGATGCGTAAGAAAAGAATTTTTTTTTTTCTCTCTCTATTAAATAATAACAATTCACCATGGCTTGCTGCGAAATGGGACGCTGGCATCGACGATGGTAAATATCTTTGCCATTATCGTGAGGCTCGGCTCCAATCGCTGCATTTCCGGATTATGACTAACACTGATGTAAGGAATAGAGGTGGTACAATCTCGGTCTGTTTCATTCCCTATTCCATGGATACTCCAAACTCCAGTGTAGACTACACATGGATGCATCTCACAGACATTCAACGCGACCACAGAGCCGTCACTTTTAGAGAAAGTGACACTAGAACCTACACCTACACTCCCCGAGCTGGCGACAAAGCATTTTCCTGGATGCCTATCGCCAAGGTCACTCCTGACCATATTACTGGGCTTGGTGCTCTGCTTGTGGGCTATCAAACCTTTGGTTCTGATGACATGGCTACTATTTCCACTCATTATGGCTCTAGTGAGTTCTGCGTCGAGGTGACTTCCTCCGCCTCCTTCCTCTTATGTGATTTTGTAATATCAACGATCGAGTTTGAGGATGGCGTGACCTATCTTAATACAGCAAATCTCAAAAACACATCGGTCCTATGATGCCCTTCAATATCCATTGATATTCCCTTATGGTGAAGACGGCTACCATTTTAACATTATGCAAATTGAGCCATTATCAGGTGCAATAACCAATAAAAAGGTTTCATCAATGGACTTCTACAGTTATAGAATATTGATTCGTGATAATAGCCCAAACCATATTTTTAAATGCAGGCAATTATTTCACCAATTTCTTGGCCTGGCACTTCTGCTGGGCCCTGTTCGCGGGACAGTGCTTCTGGTGGGATTTCCACGTTGCCAAGTCTCGTACTTGACACAGCGGAAATCACGCCTGCGCGGTCACGTGACTCGGGGACCAGCGGCGAGCCGCGCGGCCCGGCGATCGACCAGGTTATTGCACCCATGTCTGTTTGGTCACGTGACATGCGTCCTCGTCTCGACGAGTTTGGCCATCCTATTGCGCATGTTTCTGCACACATTGTCACGTGACCAGGTTTGTTTACCTCCTGGTAATAACAACCAGGTCGCTGATGCACACTGTGTAACACGTGACACAAACACGATGCTCTGGTTTTAAGCCCGTCTGACACCACACGCCTACCAGGTTCTCACACAAATGTGACACATGTACACAACCTTGCCCCTGCTCTTTGTGATCCGTTTAGGATGCCGTTCCCGCTACCTGAGGTCTTTAACCCTTTAGGCGCCAGCCGGCCGATCGGTCGTCAATGACCTTGAGTCAGCTAGCGCCAGTCGGCCGATACATCGGCCGACGTCACATGATCTCCCCCCTCCACTTCTGCTCCCCATATCGGGCCTCACATTGAGTCATATTACAGCTAAACATTTCTTTATATTCTGCCAGCAACTACCCCTCGTCCCCTGTCAGCGGATCCTGGACCTCGTCAGCCACTTCGGCGTCCAGTAGCTCAGATGGAGGAGAGGCCCCGGGTCAGACGACAGGTTGCTGGGGAGAGCCCAGTCCTCTGGATTTGGATCCTGAAATAAGAAGGCTGAGACAGTTTGGAATCACAGTAGGACGGAAGCCCGACACGTCCCCTGTCCCCAGCAGTTCCCCTACATCCCCACTGTTGCCGACCCCTGTCACCTACCCGCCGCTGATCAGACGCTTACACTGCGCCTTCTGCGCGCGGAACGGCGAAACGCGGGAGTATATCGCCACTCACGAGCTGCGGGACCCAGTCACCGGCCACATCCTATGTCCCGTGTTGCGGTCCCACGTGTGCGACATCTGCGGAGAGACGGGTGACAAGGCTCATACCCGCAGCTACTGCCCCAGCGGTGGCCCTGATGTCATAAATATGGGGATCCTCACGAAAACTCTCAACAACTCCACCGGACGCAGGAAGCGCTAAGGAAGCCGCTTTCTTTCGCGATCTATGTCTTTAATTTATATTTAGACATTTTTCATTTTAATTTAGACACTTTCATTTTTATTTAGACATTTTCAATTTTAATTTGGACATTTTTCATTTCAATTTAGACATTTTTCATTTTAATTTAGACACAGGGAGTTTTCTATAAAAAGCCAATGTGTCTAAATTAAAATGAAAAATGTCTGGATTGAAATGAAAAATGTCTAAATTAAAATTGAAAATGTCTAAAATAAAATGAAAAATGTCTAAATATAAATTAAAATTGTCAAATTAAAAGTTAAAAACCTATATCAGACAATATATGCCGGGAAAGCATCATGGTCGCTTTGGGATCAAGCTCTGGATGGTATGTGAATCCGAGACAGGATACTGCCTCCAGTTCGAGCCATATAAAGGCAAACTTGGCCAGATCCACAAAAGTCTCTCATATGATGTTCCAATGAAGCTTTTAACCAATTCTAATTTGTTGAACAAGGGGCATCATATTGTGGTAGACAATTTCTTCACGAGCATTGATCTCGCTCGGGATCTGGCCAAGAATGGCACTTACCTGACTGGAACTGTGAGGGCCAATAGAAAAGGATTTCCAGCTGCCATAAAAACTGCCAATTACGGAGGGTGTTTCCTTTCAAATGAAACGATTTTCGCGCGCTCGCGTTTTGCACGTGCAGGCATGCTGCACACGACACTGGTTCCAATAGATCTAGAATCTTCTGGAGAATTCATTTTCATCAGGTATCATGATTTTTGCAACATGGGGGGAGAGAGACTAACGCTCCAAGTCGAACAAACAATTCGGACCCTTTCCAAAGAAGGAAACAGTTATAGCGTCATAGTGAAAAAGCTAAAAGCAGAAGGACTAGATGTTGGCAAAGCTACAATATGTAGGGTAGTAAATGGCATCGGAAAGAAAAGGGAAGCTGAATCCAATGGGCAAAAATTTCAAGTCGATCGACCACGTCCGGTGCGGACCCCCGCCACGGTTTCCAAGGTAAAGCGGCTAGCAACTACTGAAAATCCACCATCTCAGCGCCAACTTTCCAGAATGTGTGGAACATCGCTAAAAACGATAAATAACATCATTCACAAAGATTTGGAACTGGATACCCGACGAAAAGGCAAGGTTCACAAGCTCACCCCTTTCCACATGAAAAACCGTGCAACGAATGCCCGGAAGCTCTACGAGGAACACCTGGCCGGTTCCAGATCGGAATATACTGCAACATTGGACGAAGCATGGATGTATGTGACGTATTGCAATGGAATCCGGAAGATCTGTTACATCAAAAGAGGCAATCAGGTCCCGGATAATTGGGTTCACCAATGCTCCGAAACTTTCCCTAAAGGTTTCATGGTTGTCGGGGTAATGACTGGCCGTGGAGTCCTTCCGCTCATAAAGGTTCCATCGAAGGTGAAGGTGAACTCAGAATTCTATATAGAATGCGTTCTGAAACCTGTCATCGAACAACTGAAGGACCTTTACCCAGGGGAAATGGACAAAGTGTTCCTTCATCACGACAAAGCCTCTTCCCATACCTCCAACAAAACCCAACAATTCCTACAAGAAATGAAGGACACCCTAGGCCTAAATTTTATCAGGAACTCGGACATTCCAGTGAAGTCTCCCGACGCCAGCCCACCGGATTTTTACATCATCTATCTTCAACATTGCAAAGATTCTCCCCTGTTGTCTAGACAGAAATTCAATATCTCCGTCATAAAAAGCCTGGTGGAAAACATTCAAGAAACTTGCAATCCTTCAACCAGCCAGATTCAAGTCCAGAGTTTGCCTCAAAAAAGGGAAATGAGGTGTGTGGAGTGCAGCACTCCACAAAACCGAAAAAGATCCCGAACTATTTGCACTGGATGTCATAAAGCCCTTCATGCAATATGCGCCCTGAAACACACTTGTAAATAAAGTAAATTGTTCCTATTTCCTTATAAAACTTTCAAATATAATATATCTTGATTATATATACCCCCAATTTGAAATTAAAATGTAAATATTTTTTATTTTTTCCAAAATTGCATATTAAATATATTTTTAAAAATATATCTTTATGATTTATTAAATTAATATTCAATGCATCTAAAAGTACATATTCTATTGCATACTACATAATTTTTGTATGAAATTTGCGAGGCATTAAATAGTTTTAAAAATGAAAATCAAAAGTGCACCGTTTTCAATATTTTGCAGGCTGGTGCTTATATGGTAATGACCTTGAAAGCGGCCGGCGCCTAAAGGGTTAAATGTCCCGAGTGTTACGGGATGGCGAGAGTAACCCGCAGTGGTGTCTACAAGCAGCACAACGATCTGGTGAAGCACCTTCGTGTTCTACACAAGATCAAAAACGTGGTTTTAGACTGCACAGTCTGCCAACAAAGCTTCAAAGACCTGCAGAAACACCACCAGGATTGCTCTACGGTTGAAAAACTGGCCCAAAAGAGCGCACCATCTACGAGGAGCAAGAAGACACCTGGAAGCGACACCGCGGCCCTGGAGGAGCCAGAACACTCGACTCAGCCAGCGGCCCAGGAGCCGATTTCTTCCGAGACTCCGACAGGACCGCCTGTGGAACTGGACCAACAAAACCCCCCCCCACGTGGCCATAGAGGTAATAGTCTGCACCCTCGCCTCGATGGCGAAGGACCATGGTGTCTGCTTACTCAGGCACCATGTGTCGGTGCTGGCCTATGCCAATGACCTCCTTATCATGGCCAAGGACAAGGAGTCTCTACAAGCGCCCCTGGACACCACCGGCGATCTGGCGGGAAAGATCGGACTCCACTTCAAGGGCCCCAAATGCGCGACTCTTCACTTAGACTGCAGGAAAAAGAGGACTACCCTGCCCACGACCTTCTGCATCCAAGAACATCCTAGGAGCAGTGGCCACCCAGACCTTTCGGTCCATAAACCGGAGCATGCAATAGCATACCCATTGCTGACATTGCATCCAAGAACAGCCAAGCTCAGCAATGAGAGAAGAGGACACGTACTGTCACCTTGGAGTACCCACCAGATTCAACAAGCCAAGGAACCCCGGAGAAGCCATCAAGTGAATCAAGGAGGATGTGGAAAAAATCAACGCCACCAAGACCTTCGTCTACACAAGACTCGACTTCATTCTTCGAGGTTCCCCGATCCACAAGACCTCCTTCAGGGAAGTGGACCTGCTGATAAAGAGACTAGGGAAGAAATGGCCTGGCCTGCCTCTGCAGGCCAGCAACGAGGTGCTCTTCATCCCTCCTTCCAAAGGGGGAGCAGGAATGGTGCCGTTTGGTGACAGGACCGATTTAGCCAAGATCCAACACGCCTTCCGGCTCCTCACGAGCCCAGACTCTGAAACCTCTGCACTCGCCAAAAGCCTTCTTAAAAGAGTTGCGGAGAGGAAGCTGGGACGGCCTGCACTGGAAGAGGACCTGGCAGGGTATCTGTCGGGGAAACTTGACGGTGATTTTGCCAGGGTTGGTGGAGACATCACCTCACTCTGCAGTGATGCCAGAAACGCTTCCCGACGCCTCTCAAAAAGGATCGGCATTTAGTGGGTCCGCAACCCAACGTTGGGAGACATTACTATCAAGCTCCCCAACGCCGGTAAGACACCGAAGAAGATCAGCCTTGGTGGCAGCCACGGTCTGCCAACAAAGCTTCAAAGACCTGCAGAAGCGCCAAACACCACCAGGATTGCTCTACGGTTGAAAAATGGGCCCAAAAGAGCGCACCATCTACGAGGAGCAAGAAGACACCTAAAAGCGACTCTGCGGCCCTGGAGGAGCCGGAACACTCGACTCAGCCAGTGGCCAATTTCTTCCGAGACACCGACAGGACTGCCTGTGGAACTGGACCAACAAAACGCCCCCTAATACAGGGTGCTTCAAAAAAATGTATACTTTTCGATTTGAAGGCACTGTAACTGGTATTAATTACCTAACAATGCTTGCTGATTCCATATTTCCTGCCATTCGTGCATTATACGGTAATGATAATTTTTATTTTCAACTAGATGGTGCTCCGCCGTACTATCACAGGGATGTACGAGCTTATCTGGATCAAAATTTGTCGGGCCAGTGGATAGGACGCAGGGGGCCAATCGAGTTTCCAGCATGCTCTCCAGACCTTACACCACTGGATTTCTTCTTGTGGGGCACAGTAAAAGATGGGGTGTACAAACGTAAACCACGTAACCTAGACATTCTTTGGAATGAGATTCAAGCAGTGTGTAGAGAAATCTCATTGGAAGTTTTGATACGATGTACAGAATCTGTGGTGACTCGTATAATGGTTTGTTTACAAAATATTCCAATTAATTTAAGGTTGGTAATTTTATTTTGTATGCCAAATTATTTGGTAATACATTATTTAAATTAAAAATGGGGATAAATTCAATAGGAAAAAAAATGTTTCCTGTGTTGGAAAAACTAATGGAAAATATTTCTACATTCTTAAATGCCAAAATTGGGCCAACGCTCCCCGGGCTGCACCATCCCCATCCAAATGATCGAAGAACACTTCGAGAAACGCATGGTTGGGGACAACACCGAGTTCAGCCCCGACCCAGATCTCCTCAAGGACTTCGCCCCCCAGGACGGAGCCCAGTTGGAAGAACCCATCTCTTCCAACGCAGTATGGTACCGCCTTCTCAAGATGGGAAACACTGCTCCTGGTCCCGATGGCATCAGCTACCAGGAACTGAAACGGGTGGATCCCAATGCCACCATCCTCACCCAGATCTTCCAGATGAGGGCGGTACCCCCTTCATGGAAGGAAAGCTCCTCTATCTTGGTCCACAAGAAAGGGGACGCCGAGGACCTAGGGAACTGGAGGCCTATCACGCTGGGCAACACGATTGCAAAACTTTACACCGCGGTCCTGGCTGATAAGCTCAGGAGATGGGCAGCGACGACGGGACAGCTCTCCAAGGCAGGGCTTCATGGAGTTCGAGGGGTGCCTGGAACATAATTTTGTGGTCCAGAGTGCCATCGAGGAGACCAAGAGAACCAGCAGACAAGCTTGCTTCGCCTGGCTGGATCTTGAAAATGCATTCGGCTCGGTACCGCACGAAAACCTCTTCAATGTGTTAGATGCATTTAGTATCCCTAAGAAGGTAATCGCTGTATTCAGGGACCTGTACACGAACTCCTCTACCTAGATCAGGACCCTGCTGGGAACCACATTGCCCATCCCCTTTAAACGCGGGGTGAAGCAAGGCTGCCCTGGAAGCCCAACCCTCTTCAACGTGGCCATAGAGGTAATAGTCTGCACCCTCGCCTCGATGGCGAAGGACCATGGTGTCTGCTTACTCGGGCACTATGTGTCGGTGCTGGCCTATGCCGATGACCTCCTTATCATGGTCAAGGACAAGGAGTCTCTACAAGCGCCCCTGGACACCACCGGCGATCTGGCGGGAAAGATCGGACTCCACTTCAAGGGCCCCAAATGCGCGACTCTTCACTTGGACTGCAGGAAAAAGAGGACTACCCTGACCAGGACCTTCTGCATCCAAGAACAGCCGATCTCAGCAATGAGAGAAGAGGACACGTACTGTCACCTTGGAGTACCCACCGGATTTATCAAAACAAGAAACCCTGAGGAAGCCATCAAGGGAATCAATGAAGATGCAGAAAAAATCCATAGCAGCCTCCTCGCTCCCTGGCAGAAGATCGACGCCACCAAGACCTTCGTCTACACAAGACTCGACTTCATTCTTCGAGGTTCCCCGATCCACAAGACCTTCAGGGAAGTGGACCTGCTGATGAAGAGACTAGGGAAGAAATGGCCTGGCCTGCCTCTGCAGGCCAGCAACGAGGTGCTCTTCATCCCTCCTTCCAAAGGCGGAGCAGGAATTCACTTTTATACAACTCTTTCACATATTTACATTAGTTTATTAATCTTATTTCAATTTGTATTTAAACCTGCTGGAATCAAAAGTATTTTTTGCTTCTCTTCTATGGGCAAAATATCTCTACAGATTTTGAAAGAGTTTGCTATGGCATGATTACGGTTGAAAAACGGGCCCAAAAGAGCGCACCTTCTAAGAGGATCAAGAAGAAGACACCTAGAAGCGACTCTACGGCCCTGGAGGAGTCGAAACACTCGACTCAGCCAGCGGCCCAGGAACCGATTTCTTCAGAGACTCCGACAGGACTGCCTGTGGAACTGGACCAACAAAACACCCCCGCCCCCTGTGAGTGACCTCTCCGCCGAGACTACACCCTTCAGACCGGAGGCTCACGGGACAAGTTTGGCTACCAGCGAAGCGGGCCAAACAACTTTTGTCCCCCCCCTACCAGAGAACGCCGCCGAGGAAGATCAAAGGGGTACTTCCTCTGAAGAAATACGCCCCTCCAGCATCCATCCCTGCACAGCCGTCAGAGTCCCTTGGTCCAACAAGAGGAAGCAACAGACAACCTACGGCTGCCGGTCGTAAATAGCGACCCTCCCAACGTGCAAACGCCGCAGGTTTTGGACAGCGTTGATCTTCAAGCAGCCGCCCCACCTGACGACCCTGCCCACTTGCCACAGGATACTCCGGTCACCCCTCCTCCAGCTTCACAGCCAGTTGATGAACTCCAGCAGCGCCCGCCCTGAAAATCCCTCACTTACTTTCAGGAAGAGTAGGATGGAAAGTGGACAGCTGCACCCGACAGGGAAACACTCTTTTCCTTGATCGAGAATTTCATCAAAGGAGTTAAAAACGAGACCGGAAAACCTGACACATGGACAAGACGCAGAGTGTCTACACAAGACTCGACTTCATTCTTCGAGGTTCCCCGATCCACAAGACCTTCAGGGTGTCGGTTCTGAGTGTCGGTGATTACATACTGGTATCATAAAAAAAAAAATGCATTTCTCCCAATTTCATATTTCTCTTAGAGTAAGAACAGATCTGAATTGGAATAAACACATTTTGTTTTACTCTGGCAGGGGAGGAATTGTTGGGTCAGATTTTCCACCAAACAGACCCAACAAAGATGTAAACATTCTTTTACATCATATATATATACACGCAGTGTCTCGCCGAAAGTGTTTGGTGTCCAGATGGAAGTCCCACAGCAATGGCCGACGGTGGTTCAAAGGCCAAGGCAGGGGAGGACACAGCCCTGGACGTGAATCCCAAGATCTGCCAGGGGAGGACACAGCCCTGGACGCGTATCCCAAGATCTGCTGTAGGAGGATGACATCGGCCCTGATTAAGTAGCCAGAAGCCCGATGCAAACAGAAGCAGAAGTTCACCCACAGCATAAACAGAAAGCTGATGGACAGTGGAGAAGCCGCCTCGACAAGAAAGAAAAGGACTTCGAGCATTCGTCTTTGTTAAACCAAACCATCTCTTCACCTCCTTTTTTTTTTTTCTTTCCTTTCTTCCTTCTTTTAATTTTGTATATAACTTGTGACATCACATTTTGATAGATGGGGCATATTTAGTAATATTTTTGGATTTCTTAAAGAAGAAATTAGTATATAAATTTCCCAGAGGGGCAGGCATCTTAAATTTTATTTGATTTCATTGTTAATCTAAATTACCTCTCAATAAGAAAGATATATTTTAAATTTCCGTTAATATTTATTTTATTCTAAATTGATTTCTCATAAGTCGAGCAAGTATATTTACTAATTCATAATTTTTCCTTTAAAATAAAAATATAATAAAATATTATTTTATTCCTTAATTTTTTAAAATATAATAATATTATTATTTTTAATATTCCGAGAATTTTTGTATATTCAAGTTTTATTACTCTGTAGGAAATGATTGAGATTGAGGGCGCTGTAGGGAAAAGACGGCAGTCTAGATTTTAGTTTTTATCGAGCGTCCAACGGGGCTGGGGGCAAGCTTTCGGAAGGAACAGATAGAATTCTTATCAGGAGAGGTATGTAGTCGAGATACTAGGTAAGTCAATTTATTACCAATTACCAAGTCGTAGATTCTCAGTCACTTCTTCATAGGATTTAAAAATTTTGTAAGATGAGATAATCTAATGTCCCAATATCCCTATGCCCACTGATGCTATCCACATATAAAGAATGTTTTCATTTTTGTGTAAAATTTTTCTTATGCCGAATAAAACGAGTGTGGATATTGAACAATGTGTGTTGATATTCATATTTAACCACATATCACATGTAAAACCTTGGTGTGTGTTATAGATTTTGAATGTATGTGTTTAAAATATAATCTACAGTGGTTATTATTCAAAAAAGGCGTATTGTTATTACTATGTATAATAAATTACAAATATGTATGTACCTGGGTTTAACCCCTGAGTTAGCTAGGATCAGGATATAGATGTTCTAATGAGACGTAAGAATAAAACCTTACAACTACAGCACTGCTATAGCGTCTGACTGCAGATCTGCACTGGCCACTATATGTACTCCTGGTCCTGCCCAAACGGCTCTAATTGCGGAGATAATTCTAGCGCTAGACCAAGCACCTCAGGTCAGCCTCTGTTGGGTAAAGGGCCACAGTGGAATTTCAGGCAATGAACTGGCTGACCAGGCAGCAAAGACTGCAGCAATCTCTAACCTGGAACAATCCTACTCCATCATTCCCCAAAGCTTTGCCCGCAGCCGTGCCCACTCATCTGCTCTGGAAGCTTGGACCTTAGTCTACACCCAAGATTACCATAACAGAAAACTAAAAAGATTTGCGACCTCCCCAATCCGCCTTAGGTCATTCCTGTCCAAAATACGTCTTGGGATGGCCACCACTACCATCCTTACCGGTCACGGCCACGTTCTGGCAGATCTCTGGCATAGAGATCCAACATGTCCTCACTGCCTGGAAGAGTCACAGACTGTGGATCACCTCCTCTTCTCCTGTCCAGCTTTTATGCTACACAGGCTACAGACAGCCCTTCTGCTTGGAGTACAAGACTTCAGCCCGACAGCCCTGCCCCTACTTCCTGACTCCCTGCCGGCCTGGAACTACCTGGTTACCTGGTTTACCTCAGCAATCAGCTACCTGAGGTCTTTAAATGTCCCGAGTGTTACAGGATGGTGGGAGTAACCCGCAGTGGTGTCTACAAAAAGCACAACGATCTGGTGAAGCACCTTCGTGTACTACACAAGATCAACAACGTGGTTTTTGACTGCACGGTCTGCCAACAAAGCTTCAAAGACCTGCGGACCTGCAGAAGCGCCAAACACCACCAGGATTGCTCTACGGTTGAAAAACGGGCCCAAAAGAGCGCACCATCTACGAGGATCAAGAAGAAGACACCTGGAAGCAACTCTGCGGCCCTGGAGGAGCCGGAACACTCGACTCAGCCAGCGGCCCAGGAGCCGATTTCTTCCGAGACACCGACAGGACCGCCTGTGGAACTGGACCAACAAAACATTCTCCGCCTTGTAACCCCAAGGAGAATCCTCTGTAAGACCTGTGTGTCTTAAAAGAAACATACAAGCAAAAATACAGCTTAAAATAAAACCTAAAACCATTCTAACAGTGGTAGCATAAAGCGTGGCTATAACTTTGTGCGTCCAGGGTTCTTCGGGTGGAACACCCTGGTGGAGGAAACCTACCTGCGCCTCACTGCATCCGGCACCTCCTTCGCCAAAAGGATTTCCCCCGGGACATTTGCATATTACGCGGGGCTCCACGCCATCGCGAGAGTTCTTGAGCTCTCAGATTTGAGCCCCCGTGGTACCACAGTCCCTGAAAGAGACTTCATCCGCGCAATGAAGCACGCGGGAACCCACAATCCGGAGCCAATCTCCCTATTCCTCTCCGGATTGGGTGACGCCGCGTCTTTAGGCGGAGTGAAATACATCTTCACCATGCCAAGCCTGGAGTATGCCATTGCCAACAACAAGACCCCTGGTTGGTATGGACGTTTTGGCCAGAACACTCACTGGCTGTACATGGCCTACCCATCATCAGGCCCCATGGACACCCAAGACCAGGCTGAGATCTGGGAGGACCTCTCCGGGGATGGAGGAGTCCGCAAGAGAGTGGTGGAGCAGGGCAAGGGATCAGCTACCCCTTATTCCTCTCCGGATTGGGTGACGCCGCGTCTTTAGGCGGAGTGAAATACATCTTCACCATGCCAAGCCTGGAGTATGCCATTGCCAACAACAAGACCCCTGGTTGGTATGGACGTTTTGGCCAGAACACTCACTGGCTGTACATGGCCTACCCATCATCAGGCCCCATGGACACCCAAGACCAGGCTGAGATCTGGGAGGACCTCTCCGGGGATGGAGGAGTCCGCAAGAGAGTGGTGGAGCAGGGCAAGGGATCAGCTACCCCTAGTCTGGGCAATAAACTGGTAGTGGACTACCGGATCTCTCTGCAGGACGGGACCCTGGTGGAGACCAGATCCCAGCTGGAGAAAGGTGAACGCCGGCCCCCTGGCCTACTGCCAGGCCTTCCTGGAGGACTCCCAGGTGGGCCAGTTCCCCTCAGGCCAAGTGGAGGAGCTGAGGGAGGTGTTCCGGAGGTTCCTGGAGGTGAGCGGAGAGGCCCTGGAGCTCAATGGCCAGCTGGTGGGGGTCGAGCAGCTCCAGTACCACGCTGCTCTGAGGACCAACTTCCACGACCTGGCGCAGCATCTGGCCTCCTACCTCCACAAGAGGTGGCCAAGAGACTGGAGGAGAACCAATCTGGAGACAAAGAATCAAGAAGGAGGAGGCGGTCCACCCTTCAATGGAAGAAGCGGTGGTTTTGGCTGTTTTGCCTTTGCTCCTCCAAAGCAGGCCTTGGCAGCAGAAGTGGGAGGATCCGCCGCAAAAGCTGCAGCTAAAGTAGTCGTCAAAAAAGCTGCAGAATTTCTTGGAAATACGTTGAAGAAGATTTTTCAAAGTAAAAAAGAAAAAAACATCCCCCACCAAATTGTCCCCTGGACCATGGATAAATCACAATGTTACATATAAGAATTGTAATATTGGAAGTGCCATTGTCCTCAACATTTGATACAAATGTAGACCTTGAGGCCAACATAAGTAATTAAGGAAATTTGGCTTTCAAACTCAATAATCTAAAACAGAACTTTGATGACAATATTGTTATTTTAGTCACAACTCCGGACAATGCTCCAGGGCTCCAAAGTGCTTCCACTGCGGTGAAGAAGGTCACGAGGGCCGTGCCTGTCCATCCCTAGCCAACCAGCACACCACCAAGTGTGCCAACTGCTGTGCCAAGGGCCTTCCGGACAAACATGAGGCGAGAGCCTCTGGCTGCTCTTTCCTGAGGTCTAGGGCTCTCAAATTCTAGGCTTCCAGGACCTGCTGCCTTCATTGTCCTCACCTACTGGATTTCCTCCCCAGCCAAGACTCCTGCCACTCACTGCTCCCAGACGCTGTTCCCCTGCCATCTCTATGTTTCCTCCACCCCTGCAAGACATCTTTGCTGCCAGATCCTAGGGTCCCTTGCCACTGGAAGTGGCATTCTGCCATAGGGGTTAGAAGACCTTGCTTTAAAAGTCCAATTAACCCGGAATAGAAAGAATCGCTCCTTTTCCAGGTTGGTGTCTTCCCACAATGCACCATCTGCAGGACCACCTCTTGGAATGTATGGAAACCTCAAGACAGGACTTATATTACAACCCTACCAAGATTATAAATTTAATCCATGAATTTTCAGTCTCCATGACCTTGTATAATCAGATCACCTCATCAGTTTCTCAGAGATCAGTTTCCAGATAGCACTTGCTATGGAAACATCTCTTCCTTTCTGCTCTCCCATCATGGATCCCTCCAAGAAGAAGGCCTCCAAGCCTTTTCAACCCTCGGTGGACATCATGGCTCTGGTGGAGGAGAATAACATGGTCCTCTCCCGCCACTACCAGATCCTGCACTCTCTCGGCCAGCCCTTCCTCAAATCTTGCACCTTGTCTGCTTCATTGAGCAGCGGACAGAGCTGATCAAGTGCCTGGTAGGGGAGGTGAAGAACCTCGCGGACACCCTCTGTAACTTCATGGAGCTAGATGAAGTCATGGACGCTAACAAGGACACTTTGTGACCACTGTATGCCATGATTCACCCAGAACCCCACCTAACCTAACTATGTCCCACCCTCTCCCCCTCTAAGCGTGAAATGCAGCATGTGCCATCGCCAGGGACATCGGCTAGCCAGCTGCCCCAGGAGAGACAGGGAGGAACGTCCCACTCATCAACAAACACCCAGGCAGGACCTAGCGCACCTTCCTCCTACCACTCAATCGTCATCCTCTGCAGCACTTACCGTGACTCCCCCAGCTGCACTTGGCAAGCCTCAGGAGACCCCCTCCAAAAATATTTCGGCACCCGAGGTGTCCACTCCCGTCCAACCAACGCCTGCTACAAGCGTCGCAAATTCACCAGCGGGAAAAATGTCCTTCTCCAGCAAAGTTAGCGAAACTAAATTAGCTGTTCCTACCTTGCCCCTCCCTCCTGTTCCCAGAGCGCAGGAGGAAAGCTCTCGGGAGGAAGAATCACCGAAGAAAATATCCTTGGCTCTTGAGCAGCTGAAGCCAGTCCTTGAGCGACTCCCTGACACCATATTTCAAAGGGAAAACAGTAGGCTGAGGATGCAAAGAATTCGACAGGGAGATAATCTACCTTTGCCAACAGGGACATGTTTCGAGGAAGATCAAATTCCCCTGCACTTTTGTGGCCAACTTGATCAAGTTTGCCCAAAATGTAGAGCAAAGTATTTCGAATTGGAACAAACGACATACAGTAAAACTTTTCATTAATGCTGTTCCAAAGGAAAAGTCAAACTTGAACCGATTTAAACCTCTCAATCCACCTGCTCTAGCCGATCCCGTCCTTGGACGGGCTTGGCTTTTCTACTAGTATATATATATATATATATATATATCTTATCTACCTTCTTTACAAAACTTTTCTCTTTCTTATTATTAGTTTGACTAAAAGTGCATGGTTCTGTCTTTCTCTCTTTTCACTAACTATTCTCACTTCTATTATTCTATATATAGGTTAGAGTATGTCTAAATGACGTGTAAAAGCCGATGCAAAAGACGTTACGTTGTTAAATTTTATTGTTATTAATTATAAATATATAATTAACTGAATGATGTGTTAGAAGTAAAGGATTTTTTTTTCTCTCTCTCTCTCTCTACTAAATAATAACAATTTACAAATTTTATAATTTGAATTTAAATACTCAAAATAATAAAGATAATTTTAATACAAAACTAAACCATAAAACTAAACAACTATTTATTGTTATATATATATATATATATGTTGAGGATGCGGAAGACAAATATAATGTAATTGGTTTTATATAGCTAGCTGGTGGTCTAAATAAATGTAAATGGAATGAAAGGATGTCTGCTGTAGGGGGGAACAATGTTAATGATTGAAGAGGAGCTCACCTGTATGTGAGAATGCTGTGGCAGGGGAGGCATGAGTCCCGGAGGACCAATTCTGACAGCCAACTGACTGCTGTAGAATGCATCCTTAAACATGCCAAATTCGGCATCGCCAAGGAGCCCAGGATCTGCTGGACAAAGGCCTGGAAGGCCCAGCATCCCACCTCCAACCGGTAGCAAGAATTCAGCGAAAAACGAACTTTATAGAGAAATCTATAAAGAAAACTCTAATACTCAAGAGTATGTAAATCCGCCGGCTAACGGCGGAAATGTAAATCTGGCCGCCGCGCGCGTCGACGTCACGTCCGGCTTAGCGGCAACTTCGTCATCCAATAGCGCTGCCCTTGCTATTAGAAACTGGGCAGATTGTGACGAAGAGATGAACCCCGGGACAGACAATGACTTTACTGTCGTGAAGACCAAGAAGAGGCGCCGCGAATCATCGAATTCGCCTACAGCAGCTGCACCATCCTCCAACATCGGAGGTGCCAGGAGCAGTCGCCGAACGCAATCATCAGCGCGTTCGGTGCCGCGGGCACAGGAGATCCCGACAACCAGGGCCCACATCGCGGAGGCCCGGGCGCAGCAGGCGTCCTCTGCTGAGGAGCACTGCGTCTACCTGGAACACGGCCCCGAACTGAAGCCCTTCCATTACCTGGGGGCGCTGGACAGGCTACTTGGAGGAACCGCCGGAGTCGTCAAGTCTCCAAGGTAAACGGGCACCAACTCCTGGGGCTGGCAAACAGAGGCCTCGCCGAGCGCCTCATAAACAACGGCCTTGAGGTTGAGGGCACTCTCCTCAGGGCTTTCCCTTTCCGCAAAAGAGCGGAGAGGATAACGGTGGGCAACCTCCCCTTCTTCGTGGAGGACGCAGCCATCATCAACGCCCTTAGGCCCTATGGGCGCACTACATCCATCGCGCCCAAAATGATGAAGGCCGGCCCATACACCTACACCGACAGCCGCCATGAGGCGTTCATCGTCTTCCACGAAGGAGTGACCACCGAGAGGCTCCCCACCCGCCTCGACATCACCATCAAAGGCGAGGCTTGGCCCGCTTATCTGTCCACCGGCATCAAGTGTTCCAGACGCCACGGCCAGGGGCACCTCAGGGCCAACTGCCCCCTGCTGGCAGGGCGGGTTAACACCACCAGTTCGGCACCACCAGCCTCCCCTGCCGGCGTCCCACCATCGACCGCCCCTGCACCGCCTCAGAGGCCAACGTCTCAGCATCCAGCACCGGCGCCTCCCTTGGAGATCTCCGGCGCTTCGCCCGCGGCCCGAGCTGCGATCCAACCAGCAGGCGCACCCCGGCCATCAACAACAGCGCCCCCGGCCTCACCTGCGGAGGAGACGCCACCTGCCCCTCCACCTGTGACACCTGCTCCGCCCTTGCGGGCACCTAGGGGTTCCGTAAGCCCTCAATCAGCGAAGTCTCGGCCCTCTGCACAGGACATCGAGATGACTGCCATCGAGGAGTCCTCCGCTTCCTCAACATCATCAAGCAGGAAATCCTCCACACTATCAACACGGAACGCAACAAGAAACGACCTCGATGCGTTCATCGAGATTTTATTTTGTGTGCCATTTTTTTGGTATACTTTTTAATTTAAAAATGGAAATAAATTCTTTGGGTAGAGAAATGTTTCCTATGCTGGAAACACTTATGGGAAATATTTCCACATTCTTAAATGCCAAAAATCCGAAAATGGATGCTCAAAAAAAAGATTTTAAATTTAATTCAAACAGATATGAATGAATTTATAAAAGTTTTACCAGAAAATGTAGAAAATATGGCTTTTAATACTAAATTGGATGATTTATTAAAGAATCAAGAAAATATTGAAAATATTCAAAAAAACTTTGAAGAAAAAATTGATGGTTTAAAAAAATCTACTCAAGACTTAATTAGTGAAAATAATGCTCTAATCGATGAAAAATTGAAAATATTAATGGAAAAAAGTGAGAAAAGTTACAGTGCAGTTTTGGCCTCTAACCTACCAACTGCACCAACCTCCATAGCCCAGCCAAAAAGTTCCCCTAATCTATTTGGAAAAATAGTAATTGAATCAAAACTCCCAGAAAATACCAACATCGTGCAATTCCTTAAAGAAAATATTTCTTTGTCTAATCTAAAAATAATTAGAGCAAATGCTATTCCAAACAAAAAGGGATGCACCATAGAAGTTCCCACAATGGAAAATGTAAACACAATAGTAAAATTCATAAATGAAAATGAACATCTTAGGTCTAAGCTAACTCCAAAAGTCCCCAAAGGTAGGTCTCCTACTATTAAAATATTAAATGTTGAAGAAGATTTTGGCAAAGAACAGATTATAGATTATTTCAAAGAAAGTTTAAATGTAACTAATGCTGATTTAAAACCCTTTAGTGTATATAAAAACCACATCTTACCTTATCTGGATGCCCTCATTTTTAGAAATAGGAATAATTTTCAAACAACTGTCTATTACAAAGACACCGCCAAACCATCATATATCCCGTTTAACTCCTACAGTCCAGTCTCTTACAAAATATCAGTTGTTAAAACCCTAACTAAGAGACTCCATACCCATTGTTCCCTTCGAGCTTTAAAAGAAAAAGAAAAAGAGAATATTTACAATAACCTACGAACATTTGGATACCCACCGGACTTTATAAGAAAACATACATTCATCACGTTCAAGAAGGTTACCCTCGCGGTCAATAGAACCAGGGGTTTTATAGATTTCTCCCCTACCAATCAGCGAATAGCCCATGATTTGAGGAAATATGGTATCCAGTTCACCTATCGCAGCACAAGCACAACAGGACATATACTGAGGTACCCCATTACCAAACCAGGAGTTAAACATGATGTTCAACATAAAAGCAACGCGATTTATTCGGTTGCCTGCAACGATTGTGAATCCGTTTATGTAGGAGAAACAGGCAGAAAAATCGAAAACCGAATCAAAGAACACAAATACAATATCCGCTCAAAAGACCCCAGATCCCTTCTGTACCAACACACGTTAAACACAGGACATAGTTTTGATCTGGATAACCCCATCTGCCATTACAACAACATCAGATACAAAGGGGAAAGATTAATTTTGGAATCCTTGGTTTCTGGTTGTAAAGACAGCATAAACAGAAGAATAGATGTCCCGGAACAGTTCCGCTGCCTTTTTAAAAGAGTTTGAAGAACGAATTCTGCTATGTCCCCTTCCCCTCCGCAGGGCGATGCTCTCGCTGGCCTTATCAAACAAATCTTGGATCTGAGACCCGGAGCAGGCAGCAATATCTATAAAGTCCTCGGACAGGTCAAGGCTCAGCTGAGGACAACACCAGCCGCAGTGCCTACACCTCCACTGCCTGCGCCTCGGCCTGCTGAGCCAACACCACCACCCGCTCCCCAGGACATGGAATCGTCACCGGCCATGGCCACACCTCCGCCTCCACAGTCTATACATGTGGAGGACACCCCGGACCTAACCCGTTGGAGGAGGTCACAGGCCCTTTACGGAAAATTCATGGAGGAAATCGACCTGAAGCCTGTGTCCCATTCAGGGATCGACCACCTCGATCTGGTGGATGCGACCCTAGATCTAAAGGACAGGGTGAGCTTCGTCCCGCGACTCCTGCCCACTGAGAGAACCAATCTGGCCCAACAACTTGGCGTTCTCTTAGAGCGCGCCCTGGACCTGGATCCTTCTCTTTGCGAGAAAATATCCGGGCTCAGGGCCGCCTTGTCATCCTGACTCTCTCTGAGGAATTTGTAAATAGTCTTTCTTAACTCTCCGGAGTGTACTATTGACTAAGATGTCAATAAAGACGTTTTCATTGTCATTGTCTTACCCCAGGTCCAGAACCCCATGGACATCTTCAAGGAGATGGCATGCTACAGGAGCTCACCACTGACCAGGAAGTGTGTGTGAGGGACTACACCTAGCCTGGTGTGTGAGCTG